CACACACACCAACCCCAGAAGACTAAACCCGGCACCTCGTTGTTATAAGATTAATAAGCCCGCGACGCTCGCTACTAAGTAGCACAAAATCATTATTCACCACGATAGCATCGACCCTTTTGGTATTAATGCCGATGCGTGCCACAATCCTATTGTAATTTGCGTTTTTGGCACTGATTATCTGAGAGATTAAGGGATTAGCAGAGACGGGAGAGGGCTGCGCGTGGCAGCTCCCACCCTGCAGCACCTGGCCTCTGCCCCTGGCACCCCGGGGACCCCCAGCTGCAGCCCCCCAGCACAGCTTTGTGCCCCCCCAGGACACCACACAGCATTTCTGCTCTTTTTTTCCCCCCTCTTTGCTAATTAATTGAAAGCTCCTGCAGCACAGCTCTCGGGCACTGCGGTGTGTATCCCATATGCATCCCATACTGCTGGTGCTCTGCACCCTGAGCAACCACCTACAGCCACCCCCTCCCATTCAAAGTGCTGTTGCCCTGTGCCCCCTTTCAGAGCACCCAGGCTGAGGCTGGCTGCAACTCATCACATGGATGTCCTGTGTGTCCCCAACGGGGACAATGACAACCCAGAAACCGGTTGATCAAACTGGCACCCCAAAAGGGATGTAGGGATGAGGTGTGTGTGTGTGTGGTGGGGTCCAGTCCTTCCGCCCTCCCACTCGTTACCCACTTCATAAGCACTCTGATCACACAGGGAAACGCGCTAATTAAGGAGAAGGGCTTTTCTCTCTCTCTCTCTCCTTCCCTCTCCTTTTCCAAGTCGGCTGTGCCAACCCTGCCCCTGGCAAGGTAACATTTTAAAATGTAAAATTAATACAAAGGGCCGCGATTTACTGGGAAACAATTTCAAACACATACAAAACAATAAAAAAAAAAAAAAAAAAGAGAGAGAGAGAAATGTGCAAAGCTCCTCTCTCTTCCTTTTATTTAAAAAAATTATTTATTTTAATGATTGTTATTTAAGTCCAAGCAAAAAGGCGATTGTAACAGAAGGGCTCGCGCTCATCAGGGGAATAATAATAATAATTATGTTTTGGGGGGAAGAAAAAGATCGACCGACTCCAAGGGCTTTTGCTGGACTGACAAAGTGGTGAATTAAAGCTGATTAGCTGTGATGAATGGAGCAGACGGGGCCAGGAAGCGGTGGGGAGCACAGTCCCAGCATGGGGCTCTCAGCTGGAAGTGGGTCCTCAACCCCCCCATCCCATCCCCCCACAATGGACTTCTGGTTGGGAACACTGTAGGTGTGTATGGGGGGGGGGGTCAGCAGCAGTGCCTTTGTGTCCCCATCCCCACTGTGCCCCAGAGACATGAGCCAGTGCTAGGGTCAGAAGGCACAAAGTGTAAAGAGAAGGAGGTTTTAGGGAGCAGTGTTAGGACAGGACAGGTTGGGGGGACACAGGTCATGGTGGGACACAGAGACAGTGCTGACACACAGGGATAGGCAGCACAGACAGCTGGGCATCCCATTGCCAAGGTGCAATGCCACACTGCATCCCCATCCCTACAGCCCTGGGTGGCACATGGTGCCATGCAGCACTCCCAGATGGGGCTCATCCTCCAGGGCATGCAGGGATGGGGATGGGACAAGCAAAGCACATCCCCATCTCAACGTGCCAAAGGTCCCCATCTCCATGTGCCAAAGGTCCCCATCTCCACGTAACAAAGGTCCCCATCTCCATGTGCCAAAGGTTCCCACTTCCACGTCCCAAAGGTCCCCATCTCCATGTAACAAAGGTCCCCATCTCCATGTGCCAAGGGTTCCCACTTCCATGTCCCAAAGGTCCCCATCTCCATGTGCCAAGGGTTCCCACTTCCACATCCCAAAGGTCCCCATCTCCATGTAACAAGGACACAACAGCCACCATAGGTCCCTCAGCTGCCTGTGCTTTTGTCTTGGGTCCACCCTGGCTTTTCCTTCCAGCAAAC